CTTCTCCCTCCTCTTCCCCTGCAGTATGTCTCTGATTTGTAATTGTCTGTTTTTGCTTTGTTGTGTTTTGTACTGTTATTTTTTTTTTTACACTGATGTCTGATTTGGTTACCCTGTATTCCTGTTATAAGTGAAACCATCCAATATTTTTCTTTTTCCTTGTGGCCTATTTCACTGAGCATAATTCCTTCTAGCTCCATGCATGTTGCTGCGAATGGCATGAGTTTATCTTTTTTGACTGCTGAAAAATATTCCATTGTGTCTATATACCACATCTTCTTGATCCGGTCATCTATTTTTGGGCATTTGCGTTGTTTCTAGGTTTTACCTATTGTAAATAGTGCTGCAATAAACAATGGTGTACAGGTGTTCTTTTGAATCAATGTTTTTGTGTCCTTTGGGTAGATCCCTAGGAGTAGAATTGCCAGGGTATATTAATTTTTTATATCCACAAAAAATTACCTTGTAATTTTCTCAATAAAATATTTCTTGATCCTTCTCTACTGGGAAGTCTTTCCCCTGGTGCTAGGAGAGCATCTCCTACCTGGTAGCTTCTCTTTACACTGTGGTACAGTCCCTTAGGTACATGTCAAGAGATTTTTTTCAAGGCTGTAAGTATCATGAAAACAAAGACTATGACTTTCTTATTTGTAAACCCAGTGACTTGACACTAAGTATCCAGTAGAAAATTAACTGTGTGAATGAAAATGAAAAGTCCTTACTATATATAGTAATATTTACTTGCTTAATTTTCATAGCATTTTTCATAGTACTTTTTAATATATCCTGCATTTAGAGTAGCAAAGACCCAAGGTTGATACACAAGTGGCAATATACTTTTATTAAAACATCACTCAGATTTCACCTTGAACTCACATAATTCTCTCAATAACAGACCATATTCACTATGAGACTTAACTTCCTGTTGCCTAGGAAAGAAAACTATCTCTCTTCTTCCCTGGGAAAGGGACAAAAGCTCCCTCCTCCAACTTGTTAGACGCAATTTCTCTGCTTTTTTTCTAAAAATGAGAAACAAAAGCTTTCTCTGTTGTTCTCTTCCTCACACAACATGGTGTGGCATGATTCTTCATTATTATCTGCATACCAGCCTTGTTCCCAGTCTTCCAGCTCTCCTCCCTCCCATCAGAACCCCAAGTCCTCTTCCCTGCCAGTCCCAGGGAGGGGGCCTGGTGCTCCTCCTCATATTTAGTTCTTGTTTTTAGTTTCCTCCTTGACCCTAATGATTCTGGGGTACAGGCTGTGCTTCTCAGGACCTTTTGTAAGTGCCAAGAAACAGACTTCTGTGTGGCTTCAAAGGGAAGGCATTTCTGAATTCCTGACTTTTTTGGGATAATTTTTGTTCATTAAGATGCCCCAGAATTTTGACTACTGGGGACTTGAGGTCTTTTATTTCCCTCAATTCAAAAGGGGAGGTAAAGTAAGTAGGTGATAAAGACCTTTCTTGTCCTTGAAATCTACATCACTTTGCTGGAAAATCTTAAAGTTAGTATTCAAATTCTTTCAAACTTAGCCTCTCTATTCATAGACCCTTCACAAAATTACTGGAGCAGGCCCTTTGAATCTTGGCAAGTAAGGGTTATAGTGGGCTAATTCTTTTTTCATTAACTGATTTTACCTCTGAAACAGAGATGCAAGGAATTCGATTTGTAGTGACAGTCTGGACATATCAGGACATACCGGGATGACTTTCCAGGCCTTCCTTTATCATAAATGTAAGTTAGTGTCCCATCTCTGGGGTGCAGGAAAGGATCTAAGGAGAGAAAGTATATGGAAAGTGCTTTGTAAACTATGTAGTACTATATAAAAGCAAGTAGTTATTAATAGAGGTCTGACTATTCCCAATTGTTTCTGCTTGGTCACTTAGTTCTGGATGAATAAATTGGAGAGGAGAGGAAGGAAGGAAATAGCACTGAGCTAGGAGTCTGGAGATCTGGAGACAGTCCTGGTGTTATTCAGTACTTACTCACTGACTTGATGTGACCTTGGCAAAGTCACTTTACCTCAAGCACTTCTGTTGCATCATTGGTGATATTGGAAATATAAAGCAATTATGGTCTGGAAACTCTTTTACAGCTTAAAAATTACCTAGAGTTTTTTTAATATAGACCTTAACAGATTATTATTTAAAAATTACCTAGGGTTTTTTGAATATAGACCTTAAAAGATTATTATTTAAGGGTATTATTTAGATTATTTAATAGAAAGTCTTACCAATTATGAATACAAATATATATTTGATAAATGATTTTAAGGAGATATTTCAAAGAGAATGGCTAAGCTTAATCTTGTAACACTAGAAAGAAAAAAAAAAATCTCCTAACCTCTGATGGTTTCTGTTGTCTCTCAAAAGAATGTGTGTATTTAAAGAGAAGGCTAACTATTAAGAACAGATGAAATTCTGCATGAGAAATCACTTATAACAACAAAAGCACATTTTATTGTGATATATTCTCTAGTAATTTTCATTTTTTCTTCATTCAACCAAACACAACTGAGTATTTATTTAAAATCTATTACTATGAAAAGCATTATAAATGTATAAGTAAGACAATTCCTATTAGAAGGAATGATTGATCAAGTTTAGAAATGAGTGTGTATTAAAAATTATGAGAGGTAAAGCAAAGTTCTAAGAGTAGAGGCTAAGGAGAGATTAATTTTCCTGAGATAAGGTAAAAAAATGTAGCATTTTAAAAATGCTTTATAGATTATGAATATTTTTCCTTATATTATCTTGTTTAAATATCACAGTATTTGACAGGTATAAAACAAGACACCATCTTTGGGAAATCAGTTTGAAATTCTCTGAACCTCCTAACACCTAAATAATGTAAAGAAAACACCAAAAAGATATATTAACTTTTAAATTTATGGTAGGTACCAATAATCAATTATTTCAAATTTCTTAATGTTTTGCCCAAAATGTCTTAAATTTTTTTTTTATATTTGAGCATGAATATGGTCCTATTAACCAGCCCTTTTTTAAATGAGAAGGCTATAAGAAACTCTACTGCTAATATAATTTAATTCTGTATATCTTTATAAGGGGAGTTTATCCAATGCCTCTTCTTAGCTCAATTGCCCAATTTTATAGAGAACAAATACAATATGCCCTTAAAAAAACTTATTTTCACAAATGTAACTTGCTCACATATAAAATCTGGACTGTAATTACGGCCTTTTTGACCATTTCAGCACCTAAAGTCTGCTTAACAACTGCAGCAAATAGACCTTCACTTGACATGGGAGAGTCCTAAAGTGGCTGCAGTCTCTGTTCACTTGGCTTTTTTTAATGAGTGCCTTTTAGAATATTAATGGTATCCAAATTTACTAGTATTGTGCTATACTAATATTTCAAGAAAGCATGACTCTTTTGTGACACTGAATACTTTTATTTTTAAATTTTTGTTATTGAAGTAATTACAGTTTATATACATTTTATAAGTTTTACGTGTGCATTATTATATCAACATCTGTATATATTACGTTAAGTTCACCACTAAAAATCCACCAGATGCTTTTTATTTATTTATTTTTATTTTTTTAAAATTAATTTTCTCCTTTTTTTTTTTTTAAGATTTGTTTATTTATTTATACAAGCACTGGGTACAGTCAGAAGCGCTGGAGGGTGAGAGAATTCACCAGAGCCAGAGCAGGAAGAGGGACCGAAGTACACTGCTGAGGGGAGCAGCGGGCGGCAGGAGAGATCTGCACGCCATGTTGGACCCCCCCTCCGGTGGCCGGGGAGCAGCCGGGGATCGAACCGGTGCCGCAGAGGCTGTGGGCAGTTTCACAACCCAACCCTCAACTGCTTTGTCACTGGGGAGGCCCCCACCAGATGCTTTTAATAATGTATCTGCTCAAATACTGTGACTTCCACTCACAGAACAAAAAGATATAGGGCTGAGACTTTGCTTCGTATCTGCTTTATTTTCAGTGACTAATCTCTGAAAACTGAAATATACTTTTTTATCATGCTGCTACAGAACTTTCAGTTTGTTTTATTGAAAAGTAAAATTCTAATTTTATTTCATCTGAACATGTTAAAGATAAAAAATCTGGCTACAATTTATTTTATTTAAAAAGAACAACTTTCTGGGCTTGTGAATGTGGCCTTTGATATTATTCTATATTATTTGGATATTTTTAAGTATTGTGTCCATTTTTGGACTCTCCAGTTTAAAGAAATCTAGTGAAAATAGAGTATGCTTATGAAGCCAGCACTTTAATGACAGGTTGAGGGAATTGAAGTTGCTTAACCTGAAAAAGAGAGCTCAGGAAATGCACTAATTACCACCCTCAGGCTTCTGAAGAGATTTTATAAGGAGTACTGCGGTTTCCCCTTCTCCAGAGAAAGGAGAGATCTTGGCTCTATATTAATGAAGATTGGACATAACAGGATTCAGCAAAGTGGCCTTTTATTGGAATCTTTATTCAGCCATTAAAAGAAGAATTGATGACCATTAGGTTCTTAAGTTATCTTCTCTTGTGTCTGAATAAAATGATCTCTCAAGTTATATTTAAGTTCTGTTGTTACCATTGGGGCAGAGAGATTCAAGCCAATTTCTTTTGCAATGAAAAGTGATTAGGTACAATGAAATAACTCACTCAAAAGACATGGGAATTGTCTCGCCAACCCTTCATCCTGTGGATGGGGAGCTGGAAGTCTGAGAGATAGCTGGAGGGATAACTTCTATGAACTTTTTCCATCATTCTGTACTGCTTCTCAATCTTTGAGTTCATCATCTTACCTGCCATAGATAGTGACTGGGATGAAAGGTCAAGATCAGAATAAACAGGGAAATGCACCTCTTTCCAAAAATTGCTGGTGATGGCCAATTCTATCACATCAGTGACTTTCTGCCAGTGTGGCAAGGAAAGAAAACTTTTGTTGGTTGTAGATTATTAGAATTTAGAAATTATGGAATTTTGTTTTATTTATTTTTTTCAAGTTGAAAAACATAAATCTTTATTGTCTAGAAATATATATAAAAAAATTCCCCACAAAGATGCTATTCTCTCATTTCCCCATCTTCTTCTTCTTCTTCCACACCTCTGATATAAAGGACATTATTGAACCTTATTAAAACTTCACCCAGATGTCCAGACAATGTTCCATCTGTGTATTCTTCTGTATTTGCAAGCTCCATGTTCATATAGCCATCTACAGAGACCAGATAGCCCTTGTATTCCATTCCCCACTTAAGTTTCACCATTACTGGCTTTCCTGTTAATCCATTGAGGAAAGGTTTGGGATTGAGAGGTAAACTCATCGCATCTGCTGGCAAATGCTGCAAACTACCGGCCGCCGCACACCCAGCTGTGGTCCGTGCCTCGCAAACGCAGTGCCTAGTGCTGGGCACCGCGGAGCCGCAGGAGAAATGTATGGAATTTTGTTTTATGTCTTGATCTTCTCTTTTGTATAGGAGTATGTATGTTGCGCCCCACCATAACTGAATTGATATTACCTGGTACTTTTACACCCAGCAGTGGGGTTTATATCCCACCTAGTAGTTATAGCTTTGTGAGCCCATGGCCTCCACCTACTTCTCCTTTTCTTTAACTTTAACTTCAACTTTTCTTCTTTTGCTCTTCTTCAACTCTTCAACTTCAACTTGTGTCGAAAAGGAATGAGCGGAGAGTTCCAAGCAGACTTCCTTCTTGTAGAAAACACTCCGGTATGACAAATTAATAAAGTTGTAAAGGGCATGGAAGTTATTTTGCTTAACCCCTTATCTGACAGAGTTAATACCTGAATCCAGAAAAAAAAAAGAGGTGCTGATATTTGGTGACAAGCGAGGGTTAGAAACCAGAAATAAGAAGAAAAAGAAAATGGGCCTCCCTGGTGGTGCAGGGGTTAAAACACAGCCTATGAAGCTGTCTGCAGCCACTGTAGCACAAGTTCGATCCCCAGCCACCCAGGGAGAGCTACCCACATGGCACAGCAGACCTCTTCTGTGCTCTCCTCACCTGCTGCTCTCCTCAGCAGTATATTTTAGTCAGTCTGCCTATTCTGTTCCCCACTCTGTCTCTGGTGAATCCTCTGACCCCCCACACCTCTGGCCTGTACCTCAGTTCTTATATGCATAAATAAATCTTTAAAAAAGAAAAGGAAAATATCTGAAAATTACAAATGTGTTAGGGGACTTCATCAAGAGATGGTGATGTCAGGTTTTTAAGGATAAGTTATTATACACATCTTAGACAGGATGAGGGAAGTCATCTCTCTCTTGACACATAATTCTCATTATACTATTATCATAAAAGAGTTTTCCTGAAAGGGACAGAGAGACCAATATTTTTAAAAGGAAGAGAACAATATGATGATCTCTCTGAAAAGCTGGAGAGCTGTTGACAACACAGGGGGTCTTCCTACTGGTGTTTTGTGGTTTTTCTTTGAAAAATAGGCATGACCACAGTTTTGGGGAGAAGATGAAAAGAATAGTGTAATTTCTGTTGCTATTTGATCATCTTTGGCAAGTATCTAACCCTTTCAATTCTCCAGAAGACCAAAGGCAAATTACAGACCTGGTGTGCATGTTAGAATTCATCATTCCTGCTCACTATTAGCATTTCATCTATCTTTTGGATACTTAACATTTTACTACATTTTTGTCTTTTCTATCCTGCTGATGATAAGAAGTTCTATAGCAGCCAAAGTCTATATTTAGTCACCTTATAGCTTTTAAATCTCTCAGACTTAGAGATTTAAACAGTTAGTAAATATTTTTGTTGTTATTGTTGTATCTGAACCCAGAGCTTGTCTTACTTTTATTATTACATAATGATGGTATTTGGAAGAGACTTAAGAATCTGGTGTAATTCCTTATTTTGCAATAGGGACTAAGGCTAGAAAGGTGCCCATATAAATTTATATAATTTCATAGCTGCAAATTATCAACAGAACTTAGATATACCAGCTTTGCTTATTGTCTAGTCCAGAAATTACCTTTTAAGTAAACAGTTTGGTTTTAAAAGTTCATATATATAGTTATGATTAGCAGCCATATTATCTGAAATTCAATACCTTGGTAATCTTTCTGTTAATTTATCAGATTATTAATTAGGATACTTATTTATGGACCAATATTTCCTGAGACTTATTATGTGCTAAGTACATGTCTACATAGAATAGTGAAGAAAACCAACAAAATTTCCTGATGGAGTTTATCATTTTATCTATGATGGATGGAAGAGAGACTATCAAATGAATATAATATTTTATGTCAGATAGTGAAAACTACCAGGCATAAAAAAAAATTAGCAAGAAAGATGGGTAAGGAGTGCTAGGAGACATTGAGAGGTTAATTTAGATTTTTAATGAGGTTGGTCATTGGAAGTCTCACACAAGAGGTGACATTTGGACAAGAATATGAATTAGTTATAGGATTGAGCAATGAGCAAGTACATCTAGGAGGATGGCTTTCCAGGTGGAGGGGCAAAGCAAGTGCAAACACTTTGAGGGGGCCAAGGTTTGGGGTTGCTGAGCATTCTAGACGGTAAGGAGGCCTGTGAAGTCAGGAGAATGTTGGGGATGAGCTTTGGTGAGGCCTCATATCCGTTTCTCCTGATCAGTGACGTCTAGATCAGGGGCCAGTTTCACACATCTGGATGCCCCTGGGACAAGTCAGACCACACTGTCCCTGGTGTGGAGTACTTCCCACCTGAAGGAGCACCTTTAGACACCTAACCTCTGGCCTGCTTGGTTAAACCATGAGTGCTCCTGAACTCTGAGCTAGGGCTAGAAGTTGACCTGCTGTCGTATCAGGGCTGCCTTTGTTGACCAGAAATTTGGGACCTTAGAGGTTATCTGCCCTTTGAAAATGTCAACAATTCTTCTCACATTGCTGGTGGGGAGAGATGGGAACACAAAAAAAAGCTTGCAAGAGATGAAATTCTCTCTACCCAGTTTCCAAAGGAGCTCAGGTTTTTTGTTTTTTCTTTTTCCTCTATAAGGTTCCTCACATGCCACTCCCTGCCCCCACCCCCAGCCCAAGTAAACTTTGGGGATTTATTGTGTTGCTAAATCACTGCATTATCCTGCTGTCTTCTAGAAAAAAACTAACCCCATTGCTGCTGTCAGCAGAAGTCAGCTCTTGGGCTGGAACCAACCACTGAGAACAAACTTAGAGGTGGGGCAAGGCAGGAAAGCCTTAAGAGGCAGGTTCAGCTGTTCAGGGCAGGGTGGGAGCAAATAACTCTCCTACCATCCAGTGCTGGAAAGGCTGTACTGAAAGAGACCCAGAGAAATTACCTGTTTCTATTATTGCTAATCATGATAGCTTTCATCAATACATTACACTATATTCAGCATTTCCCTTACCTCATTCAGTCTCCTCTGCAAACTTACATGGTCTTGCTATCAACATGATAAAAGGTTATAATGACAAAATGATCGTATTATCAAAAGGATACAATGCTGTAAGATCCATAGGACAATCCATAGGACAATTTCTCTCCATTAGAATAAGAAATGGAAGGTCAGCACCATCAGGTGACTGAGGCAAGGTCACCAGCTTCAGTAATAGTGAAGTGGAGCCCCGCACCCAGGCTTCCTGCTCTAGCCGGCTGGCTGCTGCAGTCACTTCTTCCCACTGTAAGATCCCCGTGACTAACCTGCAATGGACTGGTTTTGGACACAAAAGCAACCTTCTCTTCTTTGACCCCAGACTACCCCCTTTTCTTATCTCTCCCAGGTGCTTGGGGTCCCTCCCTCTTCTGCTTGTTGATTTCTAAAAATGCAAAAACCCTGAAGAGCCCTGCAGCATTGCCCACGTGACTCTGAGAAGACTCGTTGGCATCTGCACTGGCCTTCTCTGCAAAAACTTTCCAGTCTCATCGAAATAAAGGGGCACAAATTCAGAATACGACAATTGAGAGAACACAATTGAGAGAACAGCATTCTGATGGGTACAAATGGATTTTTCTATTCTTGCCCACACTGATAGGATGACAAATGACATCGAGCTTAACACCACAGGTGGACCATGAATAATGCTCCCTCATGTCTGCAGAGAACATACAGAACACCAATTCACCACAGCTTTCTGCAGTCCTGAAGATAGTAGCTTCCCCATTTTACCGGTGTGCTGTGCCCAGGTGGCATTTAGATGGCACTAAGAAGGTGGTTGCTTCACCTTTTTCTAACCCACCATGTGTAAGAAGATCATCATAATAAGTAGTTGAGGGGTTCAGTAATGAAATAGATCCTCTCTTGGTACCTGCAGATTGAGGGAAATATGCGCAAGTACAGGCAAGCAAGGATGGGAGCTGAAGGGACACCCTCTCCTCCCACCCAAAGAATAAAGCTTAGACCTGGAAAGTGGAATTTGATTCTTTCTGGACAGAACCAGTGGATAATGAGAGCAAAGAATGGAGAAGATGCTAGCTTGTATTCAGAGCAGCAAATGAACAATGCATTGAATATAACTTGTAACTTATTAACTCAAAGGCTGAAGAAATATGCCTCTATTTTTTTCAATTAAATCAACCTAAATCTAATGTTGATTTCCTATCCCAAGTGGTGCATTTAATATTAGCCCTTACCTTCTCTGTCAGGCTGAGTCAATGACCTGCCTGGGTTTTATGGGCCACCGTTATAGATTATGTCCATGCCTGGGGCAGGAGAATTTATTGCTACCGAGAAATGTTCTTTGCCTGGGGTTCAGCTCCCCAGGCAAGCCATGCAGTCATCACTGCCCAGAATCTTGTAGCTATGTCTACTCTGCTTCTCCTCAGTAGTCTCCTCATATATTTTTAATTCCATGGGACCTAGCCCCCCTCCCATCGAGATATTATGAGACCCCTTTTGTAGTTTCTTAATGATTTTATTCCTTCCCTAGAGCTACAATCTTCAGATAGCTTCTGTTATCCTAGCCAGAAAAATCCCTGAGTCAAAGAAATACTACCTTAAATGACCTACTTCAAATAGCAAAGGAAAAGGAGAAGAACAGATGTAAGCTAATATTTTAATAAGCAGCTGCCACACATTCAAGAGTACCAGGGGCATGAGGTGGGTGGAGGAGAATTGTGGATGCCTGCCCTGGAATCTTGTGGGGGTGGGGAACAAGGAGTAGAAAGAGCATCCTCCTCAGATGACATGGAAGTCTGACTAAGATAGGAGGGCCTGAACCCCAACTTTGCTCTGAACCCCAGCTTTCAGACCCCTTTCATCACATATAAACTTGCCTCGACCTTTCCCTCTTCCTTGTTTAAAACAAGCTGATCATGCCCCATTCAAAGCTGTTCAACCTCTAGGGTGGATTTGTCACCTCCTGGGTCTCACGGGATGCTGCCTCTGCACTAACCCCTAAGTCTCTGGTATTTTTATTCTCTCTCCACTGACTT